AGACATGGCCAGACCTGGTTCTCCTGCACCTGTCATTCTTAATATCATGTGCCAGTCGCAAAGATGTTATCCGATATTCAACAAGGGACAGAAGAGGAAATCCAAAATCAGTGACAAGCCAAGCATCTTTCACAAGTGACAAGGTCACTCAAGCACCATGACAACCATGGTCATGACAACTACAACAACAGCCAAATGGAAAGAAGACCGGTCTCAGCTCAATTCTTTTTCATTCCCCATAGAAACAATCTTCTATCTACCCATGCATACCTGGCCCAAATTTTCATCTTTATACTTTACCTGGAACAGACCTCCAGGACCAAAACTATTTCTAAATTTTCAAATTGTCATAGGCCATCCATGGCCTCACCTCCGCCCTCAGGATGAAAATATCCCTAGCAATCAAGCTTCCTCTAGAATCTTGAAGGTTAGAGTGTTACCTAGGCTGAGGCCAAACCCACAGGCTCTAGGAAAACCCCCACGAATTGACAAGTAGCATCCTATCAAGCACCTTAAACTTTGGCGTCTGGAATTCACTCCTAGCTGAGGTCAGGTTTGCCTGGCTGATGCACTTCCACACTTATCACACCTGTCCACAACCTGCAGTCTCCCTGAGCCTCTGGAATGCAGTATCAGGGATCCTCAGGGTGATATTTTTGGTTGTGCTGATTCCAGGCTCTACAACTGCCCAGTCACCCTGGAGAAGTGTGAATCTGTCCTCTCTAGGTCTCTCCAGATGGCTTAGTATCACCCCAGGTGAGTGTAAATCTTCATACCGCTGACTACCCTTACACATATGCATAGGCATGTAATATTTCTATGAAATGTTTTCCTTGGGGCCAGCAGGTGGCGTGGTAGTTAAGGTGCTGGACTCCCACATGGCCAACTGTAGTTTAAATCCAAGACCTGGGGGCTTGCTTTCTCACTTTCCTTCTCTCTCTCTGATACGTGCATTTGCCTTACAGTAAAATTAAAAATAATAAATAGGACCAGCAGGTCACGTGGTGGTTAAGGAGCTGGACACTCCTACACAGCCAACCACAATTCGAGTCCCAGACTCGGTGGCTTGCTTTCTCATTGTCCTTCTCTCTGTGTGTCTGTCTTTCTCTGGTCAAATGAAAATAAGTGAATGAATAAATAAAATTAAATAATTATTTTTTTAAAAATAACTCTTTAAAAAGGCATAGATATTTCTATTAAGCGTTTTTCTTAAAAAAGAACCCCAAAGAGTTACCATGAACACTTCCATATCTTCTTTCTGTGAAGCATTAAATACATACAATTCTCTACCCCCATTCCCATTCCTGTCCTGTATGCAAAGTAATGTACGCCGTTTTGACAGTTCTGGAGCAGTAAAACCCTCTTGGCCAGTCTCAGCCCAGAACCTTCCAGCTCCCCCTTCCCTAGGGCAGAAGGCGACAATCTCTTCTCTGGCTTTGTTGGTATCCGTTTTAGCCCTTTTTTTTTGTTTCCAGTGCCTTGCCATTTCCCTTGATCTTTTTCAAAACTTCCTCCAGGGGGCCTAGAGGAAAGTTCCATCCCCTTTCCTTACAGCCTGAAGGGGGGAACCCCCCCAAAAAGCATAGCTGTCCCTTTAAGGGGCCCATGTGGTGGGAAGAACTGCCACATTCCTACCCCAGTAGGGCCGCTGTCCCAACACGCTAAAGAGGCTACAAATAACCTTCCAGGAGGGAGCCGCGGAGGGAGAGCACGGTGCGCAGAGGGACGCGAGTCAGCCAGGCCACTACTCCTGGGAGAGGAGACTGGAGACCCGCGAGGAGAGAGCTCCGTCCGCACTGGAGAGGACATGGAACGAGGCATTTAAAGCCCATGGGTAGTTTAAACAACAGAACTGTTTTGGATTTGGGAGGTAAACCAGTCTCTGAAACAAGTGCCCAGACATCTCCACGCCCTGCCAGGCAAGTTCTGAAATTGCACTATTTCCACACGAGCTTCCTACGTTAAAGAAAGAACCTCTGCAAAGGCCAGGGTCTACACCCTTGGTTCCTGCAACCGCCCCTCTTCCAGGCTGCGAGGAGAGTGGGAGAAGTCGGACCCTCCCTCGTTGGAGAGCAGTGGATGAATAGAACTGGGGTTCAGAGATCAAAGTTCTTTGATCTTCGGGCACAAACTAGAGGCAGCTGCTAAATCACGGGGTGCACCCGCGGCCGTAAGCGGCTGCAGAAAGCACCACTGCAGCCCTCACCACACAAACGGTGGCGGACGGGCACCAAGCAAGTTATTAACAAGGAGCAGATGAAGCAGGAGTCCCGCTGCCCTCCGTGTAGCTCCCCCGAGGGCCCAGGCCTCACCGCGCGGGCCTGGAGGCTTCCTTCCGAGGTTCGGGATGCACACCCCCCTACCCTCTACCCCCGGCCGCGACCCGGACCTGCGAGAGCTTCCAGCAGTTTCTTCCCTACGTTCCTCCGCAGCCCCTTTTCCAGTCCGGCTGCCCCCTCCCCCAGGGAGGATCCAGGGCAGGAAGCTGATTGGCCGCAGCCGGGAGAGGGAACCCGAAACACCACTAAGGGGAGATGCTGCGAGCCAGCAGTGCCCGAAGACCCTCGGGGGGCGTAAGGGCTGGAGTCCGAGGACTCGTGCCCGGAGTGGAGGAATCCCCAAGGCTCGAGGGCTCGCATTCCACCGGGGCGCCTCTCTGCAGTGCGCCCGGGACCCCGAACTCTGCAAAGAGGGCTATTTACAATGTATGGGTTAGCGACCATCCTCCCTCGCTGCCCTTTCTTCGCGCACATTCATTCGCACTAACCACGCAGAGACCCAGCCGTAACCTGCAAAGGAAGCAGCCCCCAGCTCTTCAAAGAGCCGCGAGGAAAGGCGAGCGCGCGCCTGGGGGCTTACCGACCCGGCCCAGCCCCGAACCCGGGGGAGCGCCTCTCCACTGTCCCCTCTCAGACCTGCGGGGCTGGGGGAGCTCCCGGTCCCTTCGCCGGCATGCAATCTCGGGGCTACTACTCCGGGAGAGGGCGCGGGGTCTCAGGCCCCAGCCTGCGCCGTCCGGCTCCCGGGAGGTGAGTCCTGCAGCGGCCGGACCCTGGGACAAACTTTCCCGGCG